CCCGGGGGTGCGGGTACCATCAACAGAGAGAGGTTCCCATCATGGGGCCTGAAGGCAGCTTACAAAGGTGCAGTGTTACATCTGCTTTACGTGATTGATGCACAAGGACGATGGGGCCAAACTCTCTTCAGTTGTGCCCAGCGACAGGACAAGGGGCAATGGGCACAAACTGAAGCAGAGGAAGCTCCAGCTGAACCCGAGGAAGAACTTGTTCCCTCTGGGGGTGACGGAGCCCTGGCCCAGGCTGCCCAGGGAGGCTGTGGAGTCTCCTTCTCTGGAGATATTCAAGACCCCCCTGGACAAGGGCCTGTCCAGCCTGCTCTGGGTGACCCTGCTTCGGCAGGGGGTTGGGCTGGGTGACCCACAGAGGTCCCTGCCAACCCCAACCCCGACCAGTCTGTGATTCTGTAAGACTGAATGCCAGCTACTGTGAAGAGAAGGAATTATCCTAAAGAGATCTCTCTTCATCAAGTTTTTCTTTTAAAACAACAAACACTGAAAGCAGGCCAGAGCCCTTTAGGAAATAACAATTTCATGGGAAGCAATACGAACAGTGGCAAACAGCATCTTTACAGCCACGTGTTATCCCCAAACAGGGAGCGTTCCTTCTCAAAGGAACCTTCTCGAAGCCGTACGAAACGATGCACACACCGCCCACTGCACCCGTGCTCACGCTTTTGCCACCACGTGCTCCGCGTTTGCGCTCCGTCTACCGAGCGAGAGGTTCGGCTTCTACACAAACACCACACCTGGGTATCAGCAAGAGCCTGACAGATACATGAGCTGTTTTAAACTCTCAAAAGCCTGTTTCCAACTTCTTAACCATCAAATGAAATGTGCATTTCTTTAGCCTACTTGATTAGTATGCTGCATGACTAAAAGAAATGTAGGGCTGACATTTTAAAGCATTCAGTCTGAACATACGCTAATATAGCTGCAAGCCACAACAAATGCGTTTTCATTTCCTTAATAAAAGCTTAATGCTACAGTGAGAAGAATCACCTTGTAGTTAACACCAATCAAAAATGGCTTTCAAAGGTTACATAAAGCTGAAGGACAGTATTTAACTCTGATGGCACTTTTACAGGATGACAAACTTCCAGAGTACATTTATGCAATATAAAAGTAAAGTTAAAAGGCTCAGATCCTGGAGGATGTACAGGAATATGTTTTCCAGGGAGCATTTTGATAATTTTTGGCCTTCACATTAACTTTTTTCAGGCTGTAGAGTATCTTTGGTTTAACTTCTCACTCACCTCCACAGCCTCCTACAAGACTGAATCAGCACCACAACTCACCGACAGCCAGATTAGATGGGAGGACTCCACCAACCTCCTGCTCCCAACCTTCGTTCTCCTATCAGGATGCTGGGAGAATTCATCTCAGATAATTTCTGAATTTAAATCTCCATCGTGCAGTAGCAAATTCAGCTGAGCCATCTACCCTCAGCATCTGCTAAGTCTGCATGAGCGTCTACTTTATCTTATTGAGCTGCAAACACTGAAGAAGGAAGACCAAAGGTATTTTGACAACACTGTATTTTCCCAGAAATAGGTGACAAAACATCCACACATTTAGACTGACTCCAGGACAGCCTCTGAATTGAGGCAAACCTCAGCAGCCTTCAGAAAGCTAAACACACAGGAGCCATTCTCCAGCAATCTCAAAACCCCTCACAAGCACGGGCTGTTCTACATGAACACCCTGGCCCAGACGTGGGGTGTTCTTACATCCCGTGCGGTCTGACTTCCATCAGTCCATCTGCAAAGAGTTTACACTAGCTCAAAATCTAGCCGCCCTTTTCCTGGTATTAACACTTCAGTCATGATCATACTGTTCTAAAACTGTCTTGTAACAGAAGCCTTGCTGGCTTTTTTTTTTAATTATTATTTGTCACACATGAGAATCCACCCTTGCTGTTTCCACTTTGCTGTATTTACAAGTGTGGCATCACCCAGGCTTGCGATTCAGAGAAGAAAATAAATCTTACTTCAGATCTGAAAAACTCTTCTTAAAATACCAAGTCATCAATTTCACATTCCTGATCCATTCTTTCATGGGGTCTTACAAGCAAGTCCCTTTTTATAAGTTATTTTGCATTGGCTGGTTAATTCCATCTAATCTTTGTCAGTATGCATTCTCTGCACTGTTGTCATGTGGATAAAAAGAAGCACAGGAGCCATTAGCCTCTAACTTGACACCAAAACCAATCTTCGGGACTGGAGCATCTCTCCTACAAGGAGAGGCTGAGGGAGCTGGGCTTGTTCAGCCTGGAGAAGAGAAGGCTGAGAGGGGACCTTATCAATGCTTATAAATATCTGCAGGGTGGGTGTCAGGAGGATGGGGCCAGACTC